CTACACCCTAAACCCTAAACTCTAAACCACTTAAACCCTAAACCCTAAACCCTACACCCTAAACCCTAAACCCTAAACCACTTAAACCCTAAACCCTAAACCCCAAACCCTAAACCCTTCAGATGGTTTGTGATTCAGGCCCAGCACCTTCTCAGGAGCTCCGGGGATGGCAGCTGTGCAATGTCTGCGCAGCAGCTCTGCAGGATGCTGCGGAACTCGGAGGAATCGAAGAATTGCAACACCTCCACAGGAAAGCAATGGTTTAGGGTTTAGGTTTTAGGGTTTAGGTTTTAGGGTTTAGGGTTTAGGGTTATAGGGTTTAGGGTTTAGGGTCTGAGTGGTTTAGGGTTTAGGGTTTAGGGTTTAGGGATATTACCCCAAAAAATGGATAATCAAATGGAAAAGAAAATGGACAATGAAATGGAAACTGGGATTACATAGTGGGTGTAGGAAGGTGAAAACTGCTTAAGAGTGGCCTGCTCATCAGCTCCAGGGATTCTGACTTACAAGCTCTACCTTACCAGCCCTACCAGCTCCCACGAAAGCGGACGAAGAAAAGAGAGAGAAAACTATAGTTCTTCCGTCTGCAAGCCTTGGGCGTCGCAGCATCGCTGGCTCTCTTGGCCGTCGCCTGCACCTTCCGGAAAAGGCCTGGTAGTTTTCTGGAAAATCTGCTCACAAGATGACCATCACGAATTTTCTGGTTAGTACAGCAGTCATCCCAATCTTTATCAAGGCGACAGTGCTAGCATGGCCCATTCCCTTTGAAGCAGGCAAGGAACTGAGCTGCTCCTTGGTTTGCTCCGGAGGAGCAGGGAAAGAGGCGAGCGCCAGGGGAAGAAGTGCCAGAAGAAGGCGCGGCATTGTCGGATGTTTCGGGCTGCGCTGCGCTATAAGCATTCCCGGCTAGCCATCGAGCCACTGAAGCGCCACCGCCAACAACAACAATCAAAAGCCTTCAAACAGTCAGGTCCTGGCCTTCATTGGTCCATCAATCTCATCTCAGGAGGGCGACTTTTGATGCACGCAAAGATGGGGGGCCTAAGCCTCCATTTTTAAATGGTCTTTGCGTCCCCGTTGCAGGGACCTGCACAGCATTAGTGCTTGTCCGGTAGGTGGCCGGGAGCCGCCGAGCACATTGATCATCACAGCTGCTGCTTGATGCAAAAGACAGTTGGAACAGTTGAGTGGTTCTCGAAGAGCATGTGCTGGGGGCCTGCAAAACTTTGCTTAATCACGCTCATGGCAGCCTACTTGCTTTGCAATCAGCTTGTGCCTGGGCACCTGTACAAATCACACGTCTTTTCTGCCTTTTTGACTTCCAGCAACTTACTCCACTCACAGCAAACATCACGTCGGTAGATAAGGCGTAAGAAACATGACATCATTGACAATGGAATGGGCGCCGTGACAGGGTGGGTCTGAGAAACATAGTGGGCCCCCAGTAGGCCTGAGCGGAAGGCACACCCAACTGTACAGACTGCAACCTCACTGCTTGCTGAAGGCGGTAATCAACACAACGCCAAGTAGTTGAAGAGCTTCCGCTGACCAGTAAATCCTCTGGAGTTTCGCGAGGCTGCGGGCAAGGAAACAAGACCAACCTCCGGCCAACCTTTTTTCCATAGAGAGAGGCAAATGGAAATGCTCCTCATAATGCAGGTTTAGGAATTCCCACAGGCAGGTATGTCTAAGAGTGGGTATTTCTAGGATTGCTTGAGGAAACCATTCGAGAAATCTCTTGCTAGCCCCACATAGAATGCAGCCACGATGCAAAAGTTGCCTTCTGCCGGTTATTTCTTTGAACCTGGGTTGTCGGAGTGCGCCAACAGCCCCACTTGCGCCGTTGCATGCGGACAGACAGTGTCCGGAGGAAATCGAAATCATTGTAGCTTGGGAAACGACATGGTACAGCTTCAAAACAGTAAAACAACATGACCACCACCACCAAAGAACATTGCAACAAGACTGGCACCGGCAATCTCAGCATGAAAAGAAACCGCTTGGTGCATGTAAATTATTGTAGTATAATATGCTCTATAGTATAATAAACTCTGTTCTCATAATATAATATACTGTATGGTATTATCATAGTATAATATTGTGTATTACTATAATATAAAAAAAAGTATATGGGTCCGAGATGCCAGCAAATTGACACCAAACTCGCCACTATGATCGGCCCAACGGCATCTAAGGTGTACCCCACTGCAAAGCCAAGCCTCAATTCAACTGCAGCTCTTAACTGTAATAGGGATTGGTCCCCCATGGTTTCAAGGGACTCGTACACGAGCATATGGTGATTGTACCGTGGTCGTGAACCATTCGTCGAGATTATCAAACAAAGAGTGAGTATGTACATGTCAGGATGACATAAGGTTTCGTGATTTCGGGAGGCCTAGGTCAGGACTCGAGAGGAACTGCGTGGGTTTCGGTGTCAGGGCTCTCCAGTTGTAGAGCTAGGGCTGTGTCAACAAGTTTTGGTCCTTTTTGAAAACTCCTACTGTGCTATTCTAGGGGAAAGCAACAGAGCACGAGGAATTGCAAAAGAATAGCCTGTAAAAACTTTGATTGCAGCGTAGCCACAGGACCTAGCACAAGCACGAGCTGCACAAGTGGCAAAGGCTGGCAGGCTTGCTCAAAAAAAGAGCTCAACTTGTACAAGGCCAGGTGGCTGGTTGATGCCCTTGATCATGAATAGGAATCCCACAGACCAAATGCAGCCACTGATGAAGGCAGGGCGAATCACCGAATGCAGAACTGGCTTTCGCCTCAATCGAGCGATGCCCGAGTAGATCACGTAAATGGCCTGAAGCGAACCGCTTAGGTTAATCGTCCACTTGCAAGAACTTGCCAAGATGTGACGAGGTGCGGTTGACGCAAACCAAACGCCAACACACTGTGGGAAGATCACAGCTGTTGAGGGATAGTCCGGGTGCTCCTCAGCTCAAGGGCTGCGGGCTTGTAGAGATGGCAGTCCTGCAGCAATCGCTTTCTCACCATCGGAAAGCCGTACAAAGACTATGAGAACTCTCAACCAAAGGGAGACTTCGTGATGAATGCTCAATATGCTACGATGCTGCTTGAACCCTTCATAGCACCAACTACAACCAAACTCCACAATCTAGGGCAGCAACTGAAATGACAAAAGCTGCTGTCACAAGTTTCGGCCACCGCACATCCTTTACAGACGTCAACAGGCCACTCCAGAACCAGACAACAGTGCGAGGTGCCAGATTGTAGAGAGTGGCCGGCACGCTCTGAACGCCAGCCAGGCTGCCCGCCACAATGGCCTTCAGTGAGTCTGACTGCACTATATGGGCGGTTCCCAAAATTAGGTTCGCATTTTGGCACCCCTAAATATGCCTAAATATTAGGTGCCGTAATATAATCTATAACCAAAAGGGGCCCAGAATTTTGAGAACTTCCCATACTTCACTGATATTGGTGAAAAAAATACAATGGGCCTACTCCAATTTGACTGCGTTGGATTCCGTTGGAAGTTGAATTCCTATAAGCCAGCAGCTGCTTGCAACTTACGCACTGAAGATTTTCCGCCACCAGCGTTGCAGCAAGCCTGTGTCCGGTGACGGTCTCTAAGGCAAACTAAGCATAGGAAAAGACTTGCTCGTACTCACCGAGCTCTTCTGAGTCCCGGTCTTGACAGGGCAAGTTTTATGCATCCTCCGTTTGGGTTCGACTCGCACCTGCCTGTGCGCAGCCTGGGAACGGGGCCTTTGAGCAGAACGCTCTTTGGCCTGCAACGACTTGACCAAAACCTCTGCACGGTGGATGCATCTAGGAAGTTTGTTCTGGGTCAAGCGCTCCATGCGTGCTTGGGCGGTCTCAGCTTTCTCTTTCTCCCGCTTAGCACGCTTCTCCTCCCTCTCCTGAAGCTCGGCATTTCGCCTCTTCTGAGCCGCTTCTCGCTTCTTCTGGATGGCTTGGCGCCTCTGCCGCGTGGCGCTGAAGGCATTCTCAGCCCAGCGAACCGTGGCCTCTGCCTCCTGCCGGCTCCGCTTTCGGACAGCCCAGCAAGAGCGGCGCTCAGCCTGCATCCACTGGGTCCACACGGCTTTGATGCCATTCCAACCTTGTGCCAGCCGCACACTCTCTGCACGCTGCCAGACGTCAAGTGCAGTCTTGGCGCAGTGCATCCGTGGCGAATGCAGCATCTTCCCGACCCATGGCCGGGCATCAAGCACAACTTGGAAGCTTAATCCGATGTCGTCCACACCTTCGACCTCGTGCACGGCTGTAAGCATGGCACTTTTCAAACGGTCTAGCCATGGCTCAGCAGCCTCAGCATCGGATTTGGCGGTTGGCTCAAGATCTTCCAACTCCACCATGCGCTGACGCAGCGAAATGAGAGTTGCGTGGAAGTTCACAACATCCTCAAGGCTTCGGCTGACACGACTTGCAAGGCACAGGTTTCTGTGCGTCACCCTGGACTCGTAGTAGACCTGGTTCGATGCAGAAATTGAATATATGCCGCGCATCAGATCCTTCTGCCGTCTGGACCTCCCGCTCCAGTGACTGCACTCAGCCCGTGTTTCTTGAGCCCCACTCTTGAGGTCCTCAATGGGCAGCATGACTTTGCCGTTGTCTTTATTCCGAGTTGCCCCGGCGTTGCCTGCGTGGCTTAACTTGCCTATATCCCCCACGGCTTCCGTGTCCTGACTATCAGCTCCCTGAGGGCTCAAACGGCCATCAACTTTGGAAATCTGACCTTCACGTTTGGACCTCTCAATGAAATCCAACAGGGTGGTTCGAAGCAGTTGCGACATCATTTGGATCTGTTGCAATCTGGCTGAGTGTGGACAATCTTTCAAGATGGACTGGAGCTGCCTAAGGCATCTCTCCAGTATTTGGGACTTGCTCCTTCTCCTTTTGGTTTTGGCTAGTGTCTTACAAACACCAGTTCGAGGCACTCGGCGAGATTCCTCGCAATTGCCATTGGCCTCTGGCTGCTCAAATCTATGCTCGAGCTTGGCATCATAGGAGGCACGCGAGTGTCCCGAAAAGAGCACCTCAAAGGCTTTCAGCACGAGGAGGAAGTCAGCAGGAGAGCCACCCTTGTCCGGGTGGGTTGAGAGCGCCTTGCGCCTGTATGCTGCCCTGATATCAGCTGCTGTCGCATTTTGCGCCAGTCCCAGCACTGCATAGTAGTTATGGCTCTCTTTGCGCGTGACCCGCGAGGCCATTTTCATTTAGCCTCCATGGCAGCTTGTTGCTTCTGATTCTCCTAAACTTGTCATCTAGGCAAAAACGTTGCAGCCGTGAGGGGGGGGCAGTCATGAGGTCGAGGTATCAGGATGCCATTTTCGTTTAGGCTGGGGAATGTTGGAACACCATGTGTGCTGTAACGCAACACTTGAAGCAACAAACAGCTGTGGGAAGGAGGAAGCGGATACGGGCGTTACCACTATGCCAGTCAAGACTGAAACTTAGAAAAAAAAAAAAAAGCATGCTCGGCAGAACTGCGGAATAATGCGCTCGAAGTTACAAGTACGATGCCCACAGCATAGTTGCGCCATGGCTGCTGCCTGGCAAGGCAGGCTCATCTTGACAGGCGTATGCTGCAGTGCTCGACGGCTCCCAGCCTTTGACTTGAGGTCCTCATTGCCAAAAAGGAAGGGTTGCCGATGTTTCGCAATTTGCAAACTGCGAGGGCAGTTTTTGTGACTCATTAATACAAGCTCAACAGAACAATTAATTACGAGCTTCTTCCTTTTTGGACATCACAGTGACGCCTCCATTTGGATCTACAGTCCGCACACTGAAAGGGTGGCTTGGGTCAACAGTATGTTTGTACTCATGCACATTCCCTCTCGCCACTTGATTATACAAGTTCGAAAAAAAGGATAGACGGGATTTTAGCAGCACAGCCGAAGCATCCCATCAAATTCTGGCAAAAGGATTGGAACGTGGCCCACAAGCTGGAGCTCGGAAACACAATCCCTGCGGTGAATGGGAACGCGACATGACACACAGTGCTCCCAAAGGTCGAGAGATCCCGTTGGTGGCAAGCAGTTTTGTACGTTTTGGACGATCCCCCCCACGCATACACATGTCAAATACATTGTATTCTAGCTCTGGAGGAGGCCACTGCACTTCATCTTGATCCGCCGAGTGCTCAAGGACGGTCCAGAACAATCCAAAATTGAAGATGCCCTCAAACCAACACCAGGGATCAGATATCACCCAGCTGACACCCAGAATCCACTCTAAGTCGGGGCAGGCGGACTGGAGCATCTGCCTACCATAAGTCTCACCCATTTCAAGTGAACACTTCAATGCCATACCTCCAATCCAAAACCCTAAATACAAAATCTACACACAAATCGCTATGCAAACTGCCTGGGTGTTGCAGGCGCTTCCGGCGTAACCTGTGGGCGAGGAAGAGAAATAGTTTGAGCAAAAAACACGACAACCAGCTACGAGTACGGCGCAACTCCACAGATCCCGATGCATTCCTGGAGAGAGCAGCGGCCTCTGCTACATCCAAAGGTTCGGGGCTGAGCTCCTGCAAATGAAGGTGGTTCGTAATAGGATTTGGACAATTATTGATGGTGCAAGCCTGGCCCTCAACATGCACAAAAGTTAGAAGGGTATAACTTGAGCAAAACCTCATCCAAGAGAGCCTCTAGCAGAGCTCCAAATGTAGGCCTGGACGCCGGGAGTGAACTCACTTAAGGTCAGGGCGGATCTCCGATAGACAAATCAAGATCTGGATGGATGGAGTAGTGAAGCCTCCAGAAAGCCAAAGACGTTTGAAAGCCCTAAACCGTCATCAAGTAAGACCCCTCATCAGTTAGCAGCACGCAACCATCAAATGTTCCAGCCTATACGGGATGAGCTATAATGAGCTACAGTAAGCACCCAAGCTCTCACCCCTCCTCCAAGTCACCCTCCTCGATCTCCAAAGCGAAAGCTGAGAAAGCGCTAGACTCCATGAGTCGATTGTGCCTGTCAAACTTGACGCAATGACTTCAGAACTCCCACTTCGCTTGTCGAGTCTACTTAATCAGGTCTGAACTTTTGGCTAAACAACGCCTACGTAAGTCTTGAAGAGGTTCCCATTCAAACGTGCACCAAGGCCAAATCTGAAATCTGTAAGGAGCAACTCGTACGAAGGCAATTCACTCAGGAACAGCCTCATGAAAAAGGAACAGACACTGAAACCGTGATGCCTGTACGAGGGCACTGCTGCACTGAACGTACGGTTTAGGCACGCGCATCGCATTCAAACGTAGGGTTTAGAGTTTAGGGATTCCATGGCGCTGGGCTTGACATGTGCCCACCCTCTTCCCTCCCAATGCCACATCCCTGCTCCTAAGCCCTTTTTGCATCAGGGCCTCTTCAATGCCTGGAGCGCAAGTGACGACACGCTTAACATGGGGCATGCCTTAAACTCTAAAGCCTAAACCCCTGACATCACCTTTCCCTTGTCACAATTCCCCAAAAAATGAACTCCCCCACGGCACACCTCTCCACCGGAACTCCCTCGTAGCACTCTGTGACCTGCCCCTTGCCGTGAACCTCGCTCAAGCGGAGCGACATTAAGAATAGAAATAATGACAATGAGGAGCATAATAACTTTACTGGGGGTTAGTAGGGAAGAAGGGAAAAAAAGACAGAGGGATTCTATAGGGATCATGTTTCCTTACTCCCTACTTACCCCCAATAAGATAAGGATGCTGCAAAAGATACAGAATGACCCCAGTTTATGTGAAGGCCATTAAGATAAGTAGAAGGTACTTCGGGTCATGCAGGATACTTAGTATCAGTCCTACTGCATCAACTTCGTGACACGCATTCCTCGAAAGATTTGCACCTATCTTGCTCTGAGCTTCTGTTGCCTCATGCCGTGCAGTCTTCATTTTACCTCTTATTGAGAATAAGCCTTGCGCAAGAAAGCTGACAGGCTAGAGGAATTTGAGGAATCTACCTGCTACCCAGAGGCTGTTGGCTTAGGACATGTGCTTTCAGGCTTCGTCTCGTTGGATGGATCTTCTCCCCCACCCTCCACGAGCAGGAGCGCAACCTCAAGTGTTACTCCGACCATCTCCTAGTACTTAATGATTCTTCCACAAGCAGTCCGTCGCTGCAAGATGAGATCAACTGGTGCCGGGGTTAATTATGCTTCAAGTCAGTAGGGCGGTGCATAGCTTCATAACTGGCAAGTATGAACAAAAGATGGCAAGCAGCAAAGGACACAAGAATCAGGCCGCAGCCGACATCGCAGATGTAGAGACCTTAGGTTCACGCTGCTCAGATGCCACACAGCTCGTCACCACCGCACACGCGCCATCTTGAACTCTGACTTTTCATCAGCAAGAAGGGACATGCAGCAGCTGAACAGGAACAAAGCTGCTCCCATCAAAGGCAGGCTCCAGGGTTGGCAGTCCGAAGAATCCATTCCGGCCAACAAAGTAGCCTGGACTTCATAGGACTGGTAGCCTGGGGCCATGCTAAAATAGGAGTACAAACCAAAAGATAGAATCAACTCCTCAACTTGTTGTGACTCAGGTTCATGTGATCAAACGTTAGCCCAAGCGTCCCACCATCATATTCTGAAAGTGGTACAAGGAGAATCCTAAGCCGATGCCCAGCAGTTTCACCAGCGGGAGCACTGCCTTGCAGGCAGCACAGCCTCCCTCACATCAACAAGGCCTACCTAAAGCTGGTAACAACAGATATAGTAGCAATAATCGTAATAATAGGTAATAATAGGTTATGATAATAGTAGTTGTTATGATAGTAATCATGGTAAGAATCGTAATAACAGGTAATCATAGTAACTCATAGGTTCCAAGCAACAGCAACAAGCTACCAAGCAAGGCCAGGATTCAAAGTTTGACAGCGCCCACAAGCTGCCGCCAAAGACCACGCTGGGAGGGACGCCTGTGACATGCCATGTCTCTCGTAATAATATTACGACTCATAATAACATGAAGGAAGCTGCCAGCAGCCCACATCCTCAATGGCGCCTCTACTCAAATCTCCACTCAATATGGCAACAGCCAGGCCAACGAAAAGAATGCCAGAGCACATAAACCACCTTAGAAAGCACATCCAAGCTATAAGTGGCCTGCTCAGCCAGGCCTTTCATTTGGCTTCTTTTCAACTAAAATGAATGATCATCTCGGGAAGGAGTCAACTGATCACAAACAAAATGAAAAGCTGTGCAAGGCAAATGCTCGGTCCAGGGATCTGAAAAGTGGTGCCATCGTAGATCCTTAAATGTAGCATGTCATTTCATCCATGACACTGAAGAAGCTGCTTGCTGTTTGTAATGGTCTCCTTGAAAACATGGCAGTAATCAAGCGAACTGCGAACTGTCCCTCGTGAGCTCTTGACTGAGGCAAGCATCTTGTACTTCTTCACCGGCACATACTGCACACCGAAAGCCACAGCTGCTGCCACGGCTGGGGCAATACCAGAAAGGCCCATGCCAACGCAGCACAGCACCACAATACGGTCTAAGCGAAGCACTGCCAACCTGCTAAATCTGATGGAATTTGGTACACCGAACAAGACATGTAGCAAGGCACTACTTTCTTGAAGGTTGACATGTTACTACAAAGATGAGTGAAAGTTGTGGAGCGTTGGGGGTGCAGGGATTTGCCAAGCTGGAGGAGGAGGCCACGCTGTGCAGGCACTGCCACCGGCTGTGGCAGGCAGCAATTAGCACTCGTCAAAGTGTAGGCGTGCGCCCAACAAGTTGCTCCTATTCCACGGCGTACCATCATACCGTTGAAGCCTCATCATCACAAGCATGAAACACATGCAAGCCACCCAAAGCATCGCGTACCAAGCTTTTCCTTACCAGTAGCAAACCCTATTTCACAATCTTTCGCATAAGTGCATGCGTCATATCAGGAGGTGGGCCAATGCACTGCAGGCTGACAGCCATGGAGCAAAGACTTGAAAGCATGTGTTATGCTGCAGCGACGACGGTGCATACATGTGCTAGGATGCGGGAGCTGGCTCCAAACCCGCAATGTGCCGGAATCTCACAGAAGTCGTCTTAGACCCCTGCAATGCTTCAAATGTGCTTGCATTGCATCAAGTTCATTGCAATTTTGCATCAGGGTATGTGTCACAGCAAGCCTGCTTTTTCACGGTTCCAACAATCACGAACTTCCCAGCACCCAACCAGAAAACAGTGCTGCGATAACAAGGACCACTAAGACTAATATCTCTCTTTTTTCCCGTCTGGATAGGGCAATCCCAGGTCTCTTTTTGGGACAGACACCAGGCGCTCACTGGACCGCTCAGTCAGGCCTCCTTCGAGCTTCACCTGCACTGGGACTCGGGCCTTGCTTAGCCCTCAGCCTCCCTGAGGACAGCTCCAAGTGGTGCTAGAAAACTCTGAACAGGTTGGCTCACAAACTCACATGCTCCGCAAAGCTGGAAACCCAGACTGCCAAGCCCTTTTTGCCTCTCTGCTCGTTGCATCTCATTGCACTGGCTGCCTTCTAAGGCAGATCAGGCAATGTTTGGTACGAAGCCGATGCACCACGGTCTGGAAACATTCTGGCGCAAGTTGTCGCCCAGCATGCGGGCAGGCACCCTGCAAAATTCCACAGCAAACACCAGGACAGCATCGTCCCTGAGGCCAAGCGATACATCGCGGCAAAGCCATACCCCAAAGGTGGCGGCTGCGTGAGGTGGCCCCAAAGCAAGGAGCCAGCTCCTGATGCAACCCGGTAATACATCCCTGCCACCAGCGCCTGCATGCGCGCTCGAGCTCCCTCTGGAGCTAGGCGACGACCAAGCTCGACGCTGCAGGCCCACATCGCAGCCATGGTAGCCCCATGCAAGGGCTCGATGAAAAGAACAAAGTATGGCTTGTCCTCTGGAAGGATGCTGTAAGCAAAAACCCTAAACGCAAAAATTGCTTGACAACTCGACAAAAGCAATGTCAGCGAAAAGCGATCGATGAGCTGCTGGATGTATAGGTAGACAGGGACCTCAAAGAAGCACATCACAGCCACGGATGCCCCCAGAAGCTGCCTACTGGTCCCATAAAAGTCACTAGCAAGGTATACAAAGAGGAAGCTCTCCACAAGAGCCATGTGAGCGCCATAGACAAACAGGTTGGAAAAGAACCACCAGACATCAAATCTGCAGAGGCTGGCAGATTTTGAGGCCTCGCTGGCCACTGGCCTGGTTCCCTCAGCGGGTAGTTGCGTCAAGACGAGAGCCATAGTCATGAGGAGGCAAAACAAGAAGACCAGAAACATGCCACAATTGCCGAAACTTTCCATTGCGCAGCCAGATACCAGTGCAAAAGTCCCGAAACCTGCAGAACCCCAGAGCCGCTGCTGGCCATAATTCGGTACAGCTCCTTTGACTCCCGAGGCCTGCTGCGTCTTGTACTCTTCCACCACTTTCAATGTCAAGGCATCCAGGAGGCCTGCCCTTGCCGAGAGCATGAAGGAACCCAGCATGACAAATGCACAAATTGCAGCAAAGGGCCGCTCAAAAGGTGCAAGGAGGGAGCACATGGCAGCGGCCCCAACAACATTCGAAACGACCAAAATCTTTTTGTATGCCCCTGTTGCATCGCACAGGGAAGCCCACACCAGGGACCCCACAAAAGTTGTCCAAGGGTGAAGCGTTTGAAGCAGGCCGATCTGCCAATTGCTCAAGCCCAGATCATGGTAGAAAACTGCAACAAACCGAAAGAGGCTGGAGTTCGCGCCAACGGAAAAGAAGGTGATCGCCTTCAAGGCCCAAAGAGGTGTCAGCGTTGGGGAACCAGCAGCATCAGGCAGCGCACCGGTCATGGCCACTACTCTCCGGATGCGTACAGCACTTTCGCAAGATGAAGTGTTCCATTCGGAATCACCGCTCTTGACATCGCAGCGTTCATGTCACCTCAAACTTCTAGCCCACGCAAGACTGAGTAGTAACACGCAGACCCGATGTCGCATTTGTTCATGGGAGCTCCGTGCACTTAATTAATGGCATCCAACAGCGTACATCAAAAAAGAATAATCCAAATGCTCGAAAGGGGTTCTGAGGCCCGCTCTTCTCGAACCCCAGCTTTAAAAAAATCCTTAAAGCCTTAAACCCACAGCCCCCAAACCCCCCTGAAAGATCATACTTCCGCCCTTGAATTTAGGGGCAGGTGAACGGAGATTAAGCTTGGGCTAA